AGATGTTGTTGTTTGATGGTGTTAAAGGTATTGTCACAGGATGGAAGCTGTTCCAAGTAAACTGCCTTTTGAAATTGACTGATGGTGATTTAATCCCAAAACATCTAGAGCACCACTTGAACACCATCAGCTTTGACAAGTGACATTATTATTATTATTGAATAGTCTGTTGTTCCCTTCTTCTGGGGTATTAATTTTACTTTCCCAGACTACAGCCTTGGGATTTCTGGAGCCTCTAATCAATATTCACTAATTCCCTCCTTCTCCATATATAAGCTTGCTGCCCTAGACCATTCCAACCAGGCCAAACTAAAATGCAAGTTTTTATAAACACAGCTCTGACAGCAGACGTCAAACACAAGTAGTATCTTGGCTAACCCTCCAACCGTCGCCATGCCAGCTAAAAGCAAGCCATCTTCCATCACCACAGATATCAAAGATTACACGGCTTTACAAAAGACGAATTCTGATAGCCATACGTTAAAAAAAAAAACAACACAGAGAGAAAACAAGATACATTTCTTGAACAAAAGGAGTCACTGTACGTGCTCCAGATTATCACTTGAAAGCATGGGAGCATTCTCTGGCCTAGAAATGCTTAGGCAAGTATGGTTCGTTATCATTCATTACATATTATTGCCTGTGCTACCTCTGAGGATATCAAGGCAGCGCAAATCCTTTCCCATCACAGCACCCTAACAACTTGAAGATTTGCTGAGGTAAGTTGTATCCCTGAACAGAAATATTACTATTACAAATTTCCCTTAACACCCTATGTCTTAACCTCTAGCATACACACCTAGGACTGCAGGTTTGCTACCCAATTTTGTCTACCACAAAGCAATCCTCATGGAGATCAGTAGGGCTTACTTCCCACGACGTACACATCTAGAAATCTGTATTTTAAAACAGCAAAATTCAACATGTCTACAGTGAGAAGCTCCTCGCTGAAAACAAGAGGGGGTTGCTTCTGAATAAACATATTTAAGGTTCTGGTGGATCGTTTTTGACACATTTGGATCAAATATAGTAGAACCCCTTTTGGAATGCTCTGGAAAAAAAATAACCCTTTGGTTTCTCAAATTCCAACTTTAGAAAAGCAGAAGAAAAATGCAGGTAAACGAGAGGGAAGGAGAAGAGAAAAGCAAAAGAACATGTCATTAAAAAAAAAACCCAGAGAATTCAAACCTATAGAAGCTCATAGTAAATTAAGCCTCTTTCTGAATCACTCGTTCTTTAGGGAAGGAGACACAGTATACAACAGAGGGTATTCTTTAAGTGTTGAGAGATTCACAGAAGACTGAGAAACAACATTTTAATAGATGAAATAAATACTCCAATACATGCAAGATTAAAAAAAAAAACACTGAAAAAATAATTAAAAATCAAAATCACTCATGTTATAGTGTAATTTACCCAATCCCTATTTTAACACACTCACAGTAGCTCCCCCACTCTCCCCATTGGAAAATGACACCCAGCCTTGTTGCTTTCCCTGCAAATGCACTTCTAACCCATCACAACTCAAAAGTAACCATACCAAAAAAAAATAAAATAAAATCGTAGCTACATCCATCCTTAAAGTTTTCTTTCTTCCCGAGCGTATGAAAACTGAGGTAACTTTTTTCTTCTCCTTCCTGCCCAACTAAACAATAAAATCTAGGAGATTTTGAAAGAACCACCCTCCTCCCACTAACTCCCCTCCCATCTCCTAACATTTTAAAATCGCATCCAGCACGATTAACGTTGGACCCCATCAGTAAACCTTTGCTTGGTCACAGGCTTCAACTAAAGAAAGAAGCTATAAAGGAGAGTCAGCTTGGATGCAGCCTTAGGAATAATTCCCCCCAAGTTACTAGCCTGGGCAATATTCTAGTCGCCTGCTGGCAGCTGGCAAGAGAAAGGCAGGGAACTTAAACCCTTTCACACAAGGCGTGGAAGAGGAGACCCTTGTCCTCCAACAACTGACCTTGATTTTGTGCCGAGCATACGGAAGGAAGTGAGGACTGCAGATTTCCTCTGCTCGCTTGCCTGCATGGAATTCTACAGGCTTCCTTGACACCATTACAAGTCTCCTACAGTTCCATGTTTAGGCTGCCTGGATGATTTAAAGATGGGGGTTACAGACATCCATGCTGATTATGACATGTAAGCTAAAAAAGCATGGTTTCGCTGCCTCATCTCATCACACTGTTATTTGAGCAATAATAACAAGAATTAAAGGACTGCTCTACACAAATTCTTTGGTATATGAAAACAAAATCTGGGGCAGGAGAAGGGATGTTGTATCTTTCTGTTAGAGGCGGCCATGCAATCTAAAACTGAAACAATTAATTCACAGAATTTGCATTTGCTGGCGGTAGAGTCCGGGGTGACGAGCGTTCCCTTAGAGCCTGAGATAACAGGTTGCAGCCATCGGAGATGGCACAAGCAGCGTTCCTCAACCTTTCCCTATATTCAGTCATCTTGGCGCTACTGTCGGTGTGTTGGGCTATATCCCTGAGGCATTGAGTAAGGAGCACGCAAGCCGAGACAACACTCATCGCACCGCCCAAAATGGCCGTCTGCACAGCTTTGCCCTCTGGGTTGATGGAGGCCGCTTTGCCCAAAAACTGAGGCTCTGTGGCAAAGCCCACCAAGGCGCAAACGGACTGCACCAAAGGTCCACTAAACAAGATGCACCGGTTGCGCGTCAGCTCGCTGGGGGAAGTCTTGACCTCCCGGACGCAGGCCAGGAGGGCAGAGGCGCTGGTGCTCATGCATTTGACGCTGAGTTTGAACTGTTCCTTGGCAAACCTATCCTTGGATTTCTCACTGGCCAGGACGCAGGCGTCGGTCAGGAACTTCAAGTTCTTGGACATGTTCTGAGAGACCTCCAAAAGGAGCTGAGGGCTTAGGTCAGCCAGAGGGGTGGTCTTCAAGATCCCACACCCGTGTTCCACCTCGTGCTTACACCTGGTCACCTTGTAGCGATCCACCAAGCCGGGAGAAGCCGGCTGAGCCCCGGGTGTCTCCACCGCGGCCAGGTAAGCAGCGTGGGCCGAACACTCTGTCAAGGAGACGACCAGGTCACCCATCTCCCCCAGGATTTCCCCCACCTCCGTGAAACGGCCCATGTTGAGTTGGCTCTGGACATCATGGGTCAGAATGGACAGGCCTTTTGTCCTGGCAATGATGGTGTCCCTGCACTTTTCAAAGGATTCTCCAAAGACAGACAAGCTCTCGGTGTGGACAGGCCGGCTCTCACTGGATAACAGTAGCAAATCTGCTACCAGCTGCATCTTGATCTTGCAGAGGTCACAGACGGCAACAAGCTTCTTCCTTGGCAAAACGCTGCCACTGGCGGTGGATGCCTCAGTAGTGGACTTGCCAGAGCCGCCGCTAGCCATGGTGCCTGAGGGGCACACGCATGCCGCTGGGGACCCCACTGCTGCCACCACTCCCCTTCCAGCTGCCTCCCGAGGAGTCCCCGCTGAGCCCGGCAGGATCGCTCTGCCCTTTCCGCACCATCATTCCATTAATCTGCACAAATAAACCAGAGTC